TGGTATTGCCAGCGACACAGACCCACTCACCCAACGTAGCACGAGTCCTGGTCCGGAGTAGCGACAGACTCGCCGTTAGGAACCTCTGTCATATTAGTTGTATAAATAAAAAGATATAATATAATACAGTAAGTAACTTATATAAATAGTTAATAGCATCTCCACTGTTATACAAAAATCAAATCAGTAGGTTAGGTGGTTTAAACTAGTGGTAGAATTTTCACCTCCTAAATAGGTCCCCCAAAATATGTGATCCATTTTAAGAGTAATTAACATATTTCCAGATATCAAAGTAGATAGGCTAGCATTTAGCTGTTACAATGTAAAAGAGGATGTTTAATATATCAAAAATTGGAGTTAATTCAATAAAATTCACATTAGATGCCATTATACTATAAATAATAATAATGATAATATTTATTGAAAAAAATATTATAAGAAATATTTGTTCATAAAAAATTTATATTTCTTAAGAAAAAAAATCTAATTTTGTTTTCATATTATAACAGTGTAACAGTGAGCTTGTCGCTTACTCTAGCAGATATTTGTGTAACCGTTATTAGTTAAATGAATGAAAGGGTGATTTGAAGCGTGTTTTTATTTGGTCGAGTCTTTATTAACTTTCTTCTCTAATTAATATCTCACTCCCTACTTTTTATCTCTATACTTTTACATGTTATTTATATTTCTCTTTACATTTGGCTATAGTAGCTTGTTCATAAAATAATAAGCGCTAACACAATGACATGGCTAAAGCTAGATGACATAATATTTTTTCACAATCCTCCCGTCCTTCCTTTATTATCTCAGCTCACCATTGTCGCGACGATCAATCACGTGACCGACGTCGCGTTTCATTTCTTCCTGTTCCATTATCGTAAAATCTTTAGTCTAAGGGAGTAACAGACATAACATCGACAATATATTATACATTTGATTATCAAATTTAATATAATGATTTTATTAATAAGCCCAAAATAAAAATATATCGTATATAGTATAATTAAAACGAGTTAAGAAATACATATCAATAGAAATTCAATAATAAATAAAAAAATCATACAGTAAAATTCTTGTTAAATAACAAAGCCTAATAGCTAATGTGGTAAATCACAAATATTGTAAATGTTAAAAATTTTGTATGATTTCAAAAGTAAAATACGTTATATTGTTATTGAATAAAATTAAAAATTAGAAAATTTTTAGGTGCGAGTATAAAGAATTTCAATTAGAAATGTATTGTTACCTTAAGTAATCTAATGGTCTATCTAATTAATCACTTTTGGGAATCTTAATATCAATAAGTTTGCTTTTACGAGTCAATAGAAGTTGGCTTGTACTAAGAATAGAAGTTGTGCTAATATCTTGATCTGTATAGAGATTTGCTTCTTTTTTATTTTTCTTTACAAGTTCGAATGCTTTAATTTCTCTATGAAGTTGGGTATCGTAAACATAATTTTTCCATGCATTTAAAATCTTGCACAGGTCTTCTGCGGACGGTCGTTTTGACGGATCGGCATCCCAACAACATTCTATTAATTCAATTATTGAAGGGGGCATATTTTGAGTTTTCGCTCGCTCTCCTTCGCAAATTCTTCCCGCCAAAGTATCTTCATCAATATCTCCAAAAGGTCTAACGTCAAAAAGAACTTCATACATAAAAACCCCAAACGAATAAATATCGACAGCTTTTGTGTATCTTTTTTTGAGCAAAATTTCGGGTGCCACATAATAAATTATTCCGTATATTTTTTCATCTTTCGCTTGAACATTCGCTGGTTTGCATAAGCCTAAATCTGTTATGTAAACCGCACCAGTCTTATTAGAAAAAAGAACATTTCCAGGGTGAAAATCCCGATGAATTAGGTTTGCTTTGTGAATTTGGTATAATCCAAGTGCTGCATAATGTAAACGTGCGAACTTAGCATTCCACGACATATCGGAAAAATCCTTTGTATGATCAATATATCTCATAACAATAATAAAGTTTGATTCTTTGTCTTTAGTGATTCCATAGCATCCGATAATTTGGGTTTGATAATCGTTTAATTTATGAAGGCTTTTTACCTGGATTAAAGTTAAATTTATTACTAATAAGGTAATTACATAAGCTTTTTCTTATGTATTTTTATGCAAGGGAGTTGGAATTATGTGGCATTAAAAATAATCATACCTCATCTAAGTATTCCTTAGATATATCCTGAGAGTTTTTTAAACATTTTAGTGCAACTTTTATTTCTCCAGTTCTCTGCCATCTATAATATTTGTTCCAATATAAGATATATCCATCCTTCCAATCAGCTGAATAAACTGTACCAAAACCACCTTGACCAATTTTTTTGATATTATCGAATCGTTCGTATGGAATCCATTCAAGTGTTTTAAACCTGCTCGTTGCTTCTAATTGAACTTTTTGTATAAATTCATCAACATCCTTATTTCCACTTGTCCACTTGTCAAATTCTTTTTCAAAACGAAAAGAATTGCAAGAATGACACCAGTAATCACTCGTGGTTTTTTCTCCACATTGGTTGCATACGCCTAGATGATAGATTTTAATTATTATTTCAACTAAACAATAAATATCCGTTAACTAATATGCTTACTCGCTAAAAGTAAAGAATATAGCTCAGATAAACTAAAAAACTCGTCGCATGAGTTTACTTAATAAGATTAATAAACGTATGTTTACCATCTACAATTGTATTTAAGTAAAAAATATAGCACTGTTTAACATATAATTAATTAACTCAATAAATATTAGTAAATTAATATGTTTACCCCCTAAAGCAATGAATATAACTCAGATCAATTAAGGCATTTTTGGTATAAATTTCACAATTGTATTAACAAAAATATGCTTGCCGGCTGTGATTGTAGTTAAAACATATAATTATGATCAATAATGCATCTTTGATATAAATTCACTTATTACTAAAATATACTAACTCCCTAAAAGTAAATATCAATTAGAACTCTTTTAATAGGAATTTACAATCTAAATAAAAACACGCTTACCGTCTGTAATCGTAGTTAAAGTAAAAAGTATAACTCAGATCAATTAATTTTTTTTCAATACGAATTTAATCAACAAATATAAATGAAAACATGCTTACAGTCTATAATTATTTTAAAGTAAAGAACCTGGATCAATTAAAATTCCGATGATATCGTTTTACTTAACAAATATAAATGAAAAGATGCCTACCCGCTAAAATTGAAGCGTAAAACATATATATTAAAACATATTTTATAGGAATTCACTCGATATTTTAACAAAAATATGCTCACTCCCTAAAAGTAAAGAATATAACTAAAGTTATTAAAATGTCTTTAACATAATATACTTAACAAATATTAGGGAAAACATGCTTACATCCTGCGATCATGGTTAATATAATTTAGATAAATTAAAACTCCTTTGATATGAATTTCTAAACAATCATTAATAAACATATGCTTACTCCCTAGAAGTAAAAATATAACTTAAATTAATTAAACACCTTTGATATAAGTTGCTTAACAAGTATTAATAAAGATGTTCTTACAGCCTGTGATAATAGTTAAAGTAAAAAATATAACATGAATCAAATAAATAATTTGATATAGATTTATTCAATAAACACTAATGAAAATATGCCTACGATCTGTAATTTAAGAAAAAATACAGTATATATTAGATCAATTAAAATATATCTGAATATAAATTCACTCAACAAATATCAATGAAAATATATTACTCTCTAAAAGTAAAAGATATAATTCAGATCAATTATAATACTTTGAATTTACTCGATATATATTCATAAAAATATGGTTACCGCCTGTAATCGTAGTAAAAGTAAAGAACACATAGATGATCAAATGAAACAACGACTATTAATAAAAGTATGCTTACTGTCTTTAAGTAAAGAATATGACTCGGATCAATCAAACGCCTTTGAAATGATATGTACAATAAATATTTCAAAATATGCTTACTCACTAAAGTAAAGAATATAACACAGATTAATTAAACACTTTATGAATTTGCCCAACAAATATTAATAAAAATATGCTTACTGTCTAATGAATTTATCTTGGATTAATTAAAATATCTTAGGTATGAATTTACTCAATAAATGTTAATAAAATATGCTTACGGTCTGTTACAATAGTTAAAGGAAAAACAAATCCCGTAACAATTAAAACACGTTTGATATAAATTTACAGCAAATATTAATAAAATATGCTTACTATCTAAAGTAAAAAATATGACTCAATCAATGAAAACATATGGTATAAATTTACTCAACAAATATATTAATGAAGATACGCTTACCATCTGTAAGTATAGTTAAAGTAAGAGTGTAAAAAAGATCTTTTGAAATTGCATTGATATAAATTTTATTCAAAAATTTTGCTGAAAATATGCTTACCGTCTATAATTATAAATAGAGTAGAGTATAAGTCAAACATAAAAACGTGTTTGATGCAATTTACCAAATGAATTAAAATATACTTACAGTCTGTAATCGTCGAGAAGAGTATAGCACAGATCAATTAAACCTCTTTGATATGATTTATTTAAAAATATACTTACCAACTAAAGTAAAGAATATAACCCAGATCAATCAATACAATTATAATATGAATTGACTCAATAAATAAATGCTTACCGTCTGTGATTACACATAAAATTATGAATATAACTTAGACAAACTAAAACATCTTGATATAAATTATTCACCAAATATTAATAAACATGCTTGCCATCTGTAATTGTAGTTAAATAATATAACTCAGAAAAATCAAATCACTTTTAATATGATTTACTCAACAAATATTAATGAATATGTGCTCACTCTCTAAAAGTTGGGAATACAACCGGATTATTTCAAGAGCTTTGGTATTAATTTACGCAATAAAATTAATAAAAGGTCTTACTATCTGTAATTATATTTCAAGATATATATATAATTCAGATTAATTAAAACGTTTTTAATGTGAATTTACACAACAACGTAAATGAAAATATACTTACAATCTGTAATCGTAGTTTTAAAATTTAACTCAGTTCAATTAAAAACTTTAATATAGATTTGTTCAATACTATTAGTGAAATTATGATTACCCGCTAAAGTAAAAAAATATACAATATGGATTAATTAAAACACATTTTTATGAATTTACCCAACAAATATTGATGAAATATGCTCACAGTCTTTAATTGTAGTTAAAAAAATATAATTCAATCAACTAAAGCATCATCGATAAAAATTCTCAAAAAATATTAATGAAAAAATTCTTACTCCCTAAAGAAAAGAATATAACTCATGTCAATTAAATACCTTCTATACGAACATTTTAATCGATTTAAATAAAAAATATACTTACAATCTATAATTGTAGTTGAAGAAAATAACTCATACACTTAAGCGCTTTGATATGAATTTATTTAACAAATATAATGAAAATTATTTACGCGCTAAAGTGAAGAATATTACACAGATTAATTAAGGCACCTTTGATATAAATTTACTTAAGAACATGTGCTTACTGTCTACAATCGTAGTTAGAGTAAAGTATATAACTCAGATTAATTGATGCTCATTTGATAAGGATTTAATTGAAGTTAGTGAAAATATGCTACCGTCTGTAATCGTAGTTAAAGTAAAAAATATAACTTATGTCATTTAAAATACATATACATAATACAAATTTATTCAATAAATATTGATGAAAATATGCTTACATTCTGTAATTAAGGTCAAGCAAAAAAATATAACTCGTATTAATTAAAACACTATCAGTATGAACTTCCTCAGCAAAAATTGATGGAAATACTTACTTTCTAAGTAAATTTAACTCAGATCAGTTAAATATATTTTTTTACAAATTTATTCAATAAATAATAAAACATGCTTACTCCCTAAAGTAAATAATATAACTCAGATTAATAAATCTATCATATATAACAAAAAGTAATGAAATATGCTTACCGTCTGCATTCGTTGTTAAAGATAATTACTCAAAGCTCTTTGATATGAATTCACTCGAATGTTAATAAAAAATGTACTTACTAACTAAAAGTAAGAAAAAAATTCAGGTTAACTTTTATATGAATTCTCTCTACAAATTAATTAATGGTACTGTACTTACTGTCTGTAATTGTAGTTAAAGAATATAACCCAAATCAATCAAAAACACCATTAATATAAATTTACTCAAAAAATATTAACAAAAATATGCATACAGGCTATAGTCGTAGTTAAATAATATAACTCAAAGTTAAAGATCGGTTTATAAATTTACTAATAAATATTCATGAAAATATGCTTACTTCCTGTAATCATAGTTAAACAAGAAAAATAATTAAGAACACCTTTAATATAATTTACTAAATATATATTAATAAAAATATACCTACCTCCTAAATTACGAAATATTACTCATATCAATTAGATAAATACAGTATACTCAGCAAGTTTTAATGGTTAATGTAAATATGCCTACCGCCTGCAATAGTAGTTAAAAAGTATAACACAGATTAATTAAAGCACCTTTAATATCAAATTACTCTACAAATAGTAATGAAAATATGCTTACCCACTAAAGCAAAAATTTATTCAGGTCAATTGATCATAATTTACTCAATAAATATTAATGTGATATGCTTA